GATGGGCTGGTAGCATGGACGTTATCATGGTTTGGCCATGGATGCACTGGCCAATGGATGGGCTGGTAGCATGGAGGTCATCATTGTTTGGCCATGGATGCACTGGCCAATGCATGGGCTGGTAGCATGGACGTTATCCTAGTTTGGCCATGGATGCACTGGCCAATGGATGGGCTGGTAGCATCGACGTTATCATGGTTTGGCCATGGATGCACTGGCCAATGAATGGGCTGGTGGCATCGACGTTATCATGGTTTGGCCATGGATGTTCTGGCCGATGGATGGGCTGGTAGCATGGACGTGTTCATGGTTTGGCCAAACTGTTCTTGCATTTCACTGCGTGTCTGTGTTCTCGGGGAGTCCTGCTGGCGGAGCGGGCTCCGAGGTAGATAGGTCAGCATCCACGGCTGACAACGGCCATTAAAGTCTTGCACAGGGCTGTTCGATTCAACTTAAGACGTGACTCGACGCTTTGAAGTGCGAACCCGAAGCTTGAAAGCTGGAACTCTGAACCCACAACTTCTGGTGCTGGGAAGCCAAAGCCGTTACGAGGCAGACCTGAGCGACAGAGCGGGGCAAACAAAGGTGATGGAGCCTATATGCTGTATGCACATACATGCAGAGCATACAACATGCAGCTTTAATCCCCTGTGAATGTTCAGTGCTTAACTCACCACGTCAAAATTAGCTTACCACGATAGGCGCATTGCAGAGTGTGATGGAATGTCACGACACGTGATGGGACATCAGAGTCATTAGTCGCTAGAGTATGTTAACGGAACACAATCGAACAGACGGCGGTACAAAATAATTTGTTGGGACACAATTCCAAACTATGTGTTCGGTTCACGCAACAGAGGATAGACAGTAAGACTGTAAAGTTTGCGGGCGTGTCCATATGATAATACATACATGCCGATTGATAAATCTAGCGGAAGGACGACGTGATGTCCACGTACCCATATGCGCACAAAACGAGCCTAGCAAACTGACAATTGGAATCCTGGTTGGTTTTCCAAGTTCGGATGACAATTTGGGTTCTGATTCTGTAAAGACACAAGCCAGCGGAGCATCGGAGATCAGTATACTCCGGTATGAACGAATCCAGTTATCAGCTGGCTGATGTCAAGAGTCCCAATCGGTGGGACTTCAGCAAACACGGGCCTAAATCAGACAGATTTGGACGTATATGCAAGCCTATGTAGATGAACGGAGGTGCCCAGATAGATGGACGGTCAGACAGAAAGACCATGCTATAGACTATTTTGTGCATTGGTGTTACTGGTAACATGCGATTGCAGCATGGTGGCTGGACAGGCGGCGAGGATGTGGCACCGTTGTAGAATCATTGGGCTCGTGCTTGCATGGGGTAGGTTTTAAGCAGAGGTCGCTGCAAGGTTGTTGGGCGAACAGTTCGCACATGTTCGGAGTAGCTCATGGCAGGACTCGTTTCTCACCTCGATGAGCAGACTTGGAACCTCCACGGAAAAGCTGTCTCAGCTGCGAGACAGCGGTCTGGAGCTTGGTCGCCTGCTTCGAAGCCCGACGAGTGCCTACTTTGGAAAGAAGCTGGCGGTTTTGAGGGGTATCGTTACATTGATCTGCAGGCCCTGCACCGCCGACCGAGCCCACCACCTTTTCAGGAGGTCAGGCGGCACGAGCAGCACTTGTCTCGCACCCAGATGATGTTTGTTCTGGCTCCGTCCTGAACGCTTTGACCGATCTGTGTCCCATGCCTGCTTTGCTTCGCCCGGTGCATCCAAGGCCAGATCGACTCAGGCTGAGCGCGAAGCTGTAGCCCCATAGTTGGTTCAAAAAACAAAACTGCGAGCCACTGGGCATTGCATCGGATGTGAGGTGCTTCCCATGGCAATCATATTTCTGGAGCATATCCGCAGAGCTTCGACTTAGACTCCAGAGATTGATTCCCCCTGCCACTCGCTTGGACAGAACACAACGGATTCAGAGCAGCACGTCAAGTTTTGCCTCGGTCATGCTGCCGCTGGTTCTGTCTGCTTCAGCTTAAACTAGGAAGGAACCTGGCAGCTCTTGACCCAAGGCCTGGCAACGGGAACGTACTTTCCGGTGTTCGAAACGAAAGCGAGAGACTCCCACAGGAGCGGGCGATGGCCGACGCCAGCCTGGCGAGCAGGCCATGAGTCTTGCTAGTTAGGCCAAGCGAGTCGCACTGCACATGAAGTTTGTGAGAGCAGATGCAGCTCCATGAAAGTATGTTTAATCTGTCATGTTTTGACTCAGGTTTCGTGCTCCAGCAGAGTGCCAGGCCAGAATGGCATGAGAAGAGCTCCTAGAGATTGTCGGGCCTGATACCAATAGATCTATCAGGGCTGGAATCCTCAGATCCATCGGAATACGTGACGATCGCTGGCTGAGCTATTCGAGACGGGGTAGCTGAAGCGGCTGTTGAGGAGAAGCTTGCTGAACTGCACAAGCGATTCGCTTTCAGCGAGGTCGAATTTGAGTCCAGTTCTCGGATGTAGGCATGCAAACTTGCTACACTCACGAAAGTACCCCGCTGACAGGTGCTTCGAAGCCAATGCTGGCTCGCTTACCACCACCAAGCTGCCACAGTTCGGGCCTTTACGCCATGCCCGTGACAGCAGCGCATAGCGCTTGCAACGAATGTTCTGTGTGCGCTGTGTGGCAGCATTTCTGACGCACGCCCGACCCATCGGTGGCCAGCCTGCAGAAAGGTTTGAGGCCTACCTGCAGAAGGAGAAGGAGAGAAAAGCGCCAAAGAAGCGGACCTGGCTTGTTGCCAGAAAATCCGTCCAAGCGGTCGGAAGCTCTCCTGCCCATAACTGTCAACAGATCATGTTCGTTTGACTTGCCAGATCATCGTCTCTTTAACGGCGCGCTTGCGTCCAACGTCCCTTCTGCCAGGCCGGTGGTTCGCCCACAAGCACGGCCTTTGGGAGGTCGCGCCCTGAAGATGATGAGCAAACTCACTCACCAGCGTAACAGTCTAACTGTTTAACAGAATAAGCAGGGCTTGGTAAATCGTTGCAACTTGCTGAGCTCGGCGGGCGGTGTGATTGTGGCTCCCGTCTTGAAAGGCCGACATTGCGAGTATTCCAATTTCGAGGTTTGTGCACAGAACCTGTGGGCTGCAAAACCTTGCAACAAATCACTCCTGCCGATCCCTTTCGGGACGAAGCCGCCCAGTTACCCCGCAGAATAAAAGAAGGCCGCCACTCTCCCGGCCCTTGCCGACTGGCCCATGCAGCACTTTGCTCGAAAGTCCGGCGAGAGAGAGCGCGAGAGAGACCGGGACTAAAGAGTAGGTGTCCGGAAAGTCACGGGGAACATCTACATGAACGTTTTGGCTGTTCGCACGTTGGTGCTTGTCACAAGTATACATGGTATTCGGGAAAACGTTTTCACGATCTCCCCAAAAGCCCCATAACAAATGGGGGGCCCAAGAGGCCGGGGGATCAAAACAGTCCCCCTGCCCTGTGGAAGAAGACTGGGTCGCTATGCGCACGTTCCAGACGACGGAGTTCCGAGATCGTGTGCCGGAGCTGAAATGTCAACTCTGCAGGGGATGTTGGGCACACAGGTGTTTCCGCCCTAGTATCCTGAGTCAGGTCTGTCGTTCACTGCCTCCCAATGGCCAGGTAGCAAGGGCAGGCTTGATGCCCCGGGGCCCTGACATGCCACCGCAGCCTGAGACAAGGGGACGAGAAGAGAAATTGAGAGAGCAGGGGATGTACAGGCTTCTCAAACTCGCAAGATGATGCACGATGCGACCTCAAGCAGTGCAAACGCGCCCGATGTGTTGCTCCTCGGTTCCCTTCGTGCTGCTCGCTGCTGTGCGGCTTAAACAAAAACTCATTTCAGATCTAAATCTTCAATCAAGCGAGCCTATTGCCAGTGAGAACTTCGCCTGACCGACTTCAGGCGACATCGCCCTGAAACGTCAGCGGCCTGGACAGGCAGTGTTGCTCTCATTGCTCCTAGGATCTAGGCCCTATCTAGGCGACCTTCACGCTGCATGCAATGAGAAGGCATCAACTTCACAGCCCAAACGGGCACGCGAGGCGTTCACTTGATCTGCCGTTCCCATGTGATTCGTCGCTGAATGTCATGTCACCTCTGTGAATTACTCAAGGCTGATGCGAAGGAAGAGCCAAGAGGGGCGCTGCAGAATGCTCCTATGCAGCCAGGCTCGGCATATGCACGCTTTTTCTTCATTCAGCACAGTTTGCCGATTGCCGAAGGAGCAACTGCGCCTAGGGCACCAATGCAGGCAAGAGAAGAAGCCGAAGCAGTCAGCTGAGATGTCAACTGTCAGCCGAAGTCTATGGAGGTTTCAACGAAGAGTAGCAATGCTTCCAACCTGGACAGACCGACTCGGTCACACACCTAATTTCAGAGAAGCCGCCTTGGAACAGATCTCATTCTGGTAGCCAATTTGCGTGGCATCTGTTTCCTGAGGTCTCTGCTCCCTGTGAAGGTGCAGGAAGCACCAGGCCTCCCCGCATGAGACGCTTGAACAAACATTTGGCTTTGCAGGAATGCTTGCCACTTGCCCCCTGAGCCGCAGCCAGGGTTTGCTCAACGGGCGTGATGTCTTGAATCGGATTCCTTCGTTGTAGGGATCCCTGCGAGCACTCAGGATCCTCCCCTGTAATCATTTCGAACCCACAGCACTCATAGTCATGCTGCTTTGGGACACTCCCATGTGGCAGCGTGGGCCTACTGCTCTGCATAGGCGATCGCGATTCAACGCCCTTTTGTCCGCACTTTTTGTCCACATCGGCTGGCGCTTGTGTTGGCTGGGTCCAGAAGCGGCAGCGACAAGAAAATGTTGCAGCGATCTTTCCATTGTGCTGGTGACCTCGCCGATTCCTTCCCATCCCTCGACTGAGTTGGTGGACGCAGTTATCCGAAGCTTCGACTTGGTACAAGGCTTGGAACTCTGCCCACTTATCATCGTTGCGGACGGTGTTCAGGTACGGGCAGGCCGACCGTCATGGAATCGGGGCAGGATTGACGAGAGCACGCGGCAAAGGTATCTTGGGTATGTCGATGCTTTGAGGTCGAAATATGAATCATCCGGAGCGCTTGACCGGCGTTCGGTGAAGGTGGTGGGTCCATTGGCAAAACGTGTCAACTTCGGACATGCAATTCTTGCAGCCCTGGGCGAAGTGCATACGGAATTTGTTCTGGTTGTGCAGCATGATCGGGTTTTTGCCGAGCCCCTGGACATGAAGAACGTTCTCAGCATTTTCGACAGGTACAAAACTCAGGGTCTCAAATATGTTGGGTTTCAGACTGTTCCTGACTATGTGACGTACGCCGTAAGCAAGTACGGCGGTTGGGCACGGAGCGAAGTCTCGGAAAGCGTCACTGGCTTGATCCCATGCTTCATCTGGTACGATTCAACTCATGTCTGCCGCACAGGGGACTTGACAAAACTGATCGTGACGGAGGTGAAGCCCGGAGAGTTTATTGAAAGCTCCTTCGGTTGCAGACTTCTAGCAAAGATTCAGGAGAACAAAGAGGAATGGAGCTTCACGTACCACATGGAAAACTATGGACTCTTTCTGTACTACGAGCCGACGGTGGGCACGCAAAGTCCGGAACTCAAGAAGCATGGCTCCGTCTATCATGTTTGGAGACAATGGAGATCACAAGACGTAGCGTAGTCTCTCTTGATACTGAGGCTCCGACAAAGTGTCATTTCAATCTTGATCCGTTTGTTTTGACCTGTGTCCTGCTGGCAGCAGACACAGGACGGGGCAGGAAGAGGATTTGCGGATTGTGTTAAGCTTGGACCTGTTTCATGTTCAGTAGCGCAGCGCTCTCCCTGCACTATTATCCACCCTGGTTTCAGCTCGTGCTCCCAGAGAAGCAGAACACTGCCATGAGAAGTTTCGTGCACGGTGAAAACGAAAAGTCTTCTAGTCGCAGAATAGAATTCCAGCCGAAGCATGAACAAGCCTGCGGCAACGACACTACGCTAGAGAATGCTAGAGACAACCGAACAACAGGAACCGGATTCACAACTTCTCCCACACATCCAAATATCCAAAACCTAGCTTCTCCAACCACTCAGCTCTCATGATCACGATCCTGGCAATCCTTGCTCCTCTGCCCTGCCCCGTCCAGTGCCCTGCCCTGTTTTTTAGGGCATGACGCTTCTCCCGGAGCCCAGAAAGCGAATTTCTTTGTTCCCACTAAGGCCCGCTGGTGAGACACGTCAGTGGCCGGTCCTTTGTGTCCCGCGAAGAGCGCATCAAGATGGGTTGGCCGGCAGAGAGACCTTCCGCTGCACGGCGTGTTCGCCAACCTGGCGATGCCCGAAGGCTTCTGGATGCACTGCCGGCAGGAGATGCTAAAAACTGGCTTGCGTGCATGTGCAAAGTTTCTGAGACTACTGTCACTCACCATTGATTGAACCTTCGATCCAAAGCTTCACAGGTTCCCAGAAAGTCACATCCTACAGATGGATCAATGAGGCCAGGGCACATCTGACAAAGATACACGAGGGGCATCTACAAAAACCTTGTGTTGGTGCTGATCTGTTGTGTCCGGTGCCACAGACCATCGCAGCCCGCGCCGCACATCGTGACGAGAGACTGCAGGTTTGGTAGCATGAGTCGTCCAAAGAAACAGACACTGACCGCGCTTTTGTCGAGGAATGGGAAGGAATGGTCGTCTCGGAGTTGCAGATCCGAGCTCCAGAGGCGCCCCTGCACCTAGCGCTAGGCTTGCGCGAAGCAAGAGGGGGCGAAGCGGAAAGAGGGGAAGCGCTGGCCGTACTCGTAGGTAGCTGTGGGCACAGTGGGTGCCCAGCGCCAAGGGAGTGAAAGTATATTCCTGGTGCGCTGGGACGCGGGCCTCGCAGTTCCGACCCAGGTTCCCTGTCAGAGCGAGAGCATCCTCTTCGGCCGAATCGCGTGTGAGGCCGGGGCCGCAAAGCCTGATCTCGCTTGCATCTCACACAAGCGCGCTACCAACCGTGTTGTAACTCAAGCTGCCCGCATGTAACAGCGACGACACCGCCTGATGCAGGGCTTTGAGGGCCGCCTGAACGACCGCTCGATCATGCCTTGCTTGCACGTTTGCCCATGCCCGAGTCTTTGCATCGACAGTGTGCGCTGACCGCAAGGCTGGAGGGGCCAAGCTTTGCCAACACCAAGGCTGCAGATGAGCCAGAGTGGAATCTAGATGCATAGACTGCAGCCGAGGAAGGTCGTGCTGTGTTGGAGCAGGTGCGCTTGAACGTTGCGGACTGCAAGCAGATTGCTGCGTTTCCTGGGCAGATAGCCTTGGCCTGAGATCGTAATTGGAGAGGTATACACATTGCTGGAGCACGTTCCCAGAGATGCGTTAATGCAAGGTCGGTGTTGTCGGCCGCAGCGGCATGACTGGCAGCACCTTCCATGTGAACGACTTTTTGCCAGGCCTGTGCTTTCATCAAGTCTTGCATGCGATCGCATGCGTGCGTAGTGCGCATGTCCCTAGTGTGCACGTGCAGGACTTCCGATCCAAGGAGAAGCCATGGCGCCAGAGTCGTCTCTGCATGCCATGATTGTAGCCGGCCCGCGCAGGGCTTGGAAGGGTGATGAAGAGCCATTAGCTTGTACTCGTACAGTGCTTGTACATCAGGACCCCCAATTATGGAGTGGTCGATGTAGAACACGATTCAGCATGCCGAGGGGATGTAGGCTTCCAAGGGTTTCGCTCACATTCGCCATGTGGGGATGTAAGTGGTCTGTTGTTAGAAGCTAGTGGCATGGGTCCTGCTGATCTTGTTATGCAGGCAATCACGAGCAAGTGAGAGATACCGTAATGGGGAGCCAATGGAATGGGGCAGCAGTGGAGTTATTTCAAAGACGTGTCAGGGTTTTTTGTCGTGGTCCTGCCTCAGCCAGCCCTGGGTGGCTTGGGAGTTTGGAAGTGGGAGTGTGAATATCCTTCTCACAAGTGTGCAGGATTCTGCATGGCGGTGGGACATAGATGACCACGTGGAACCTGTCCAGCCATCTAGAAAAGAGCACTTGATCTTAGCAAGGCTGTGAGGGTCAATACATGGGCAGAAGATTCGGAAGAGTCCTCCCATGATTTGCAATGCCTTTTTCGAAGCAGCGGCATGCCGTAGCACCTGCACACCTTCACCTCCTACATGTTGGTTTTCATGTTGCAACCGGGGCCGAACGTCCCGAACCGAAGGCAACCAAGGCGTCCTGAAGCTCCTTTTGGAAGGAGTGGAAGGTGTTCTGAAGTGCCAAGTGCTACTGTAGGTGAAAGGGAGCGTAGGAGCGAGACACCGAGGTTCAGCCAACGTGACCGACTCGACTTCACAGCTTTGCAGAGTGCCTTGGCTCATGCCCAGATCGAGCGTCCCCAGGTCGGGCGGCTGCTTTTGCTATCTTTTGCTTTCTCGGAAGAAGAACTCCTCTAGCAGTCTAGCAGTGAATACGAAGGATCCACTTCGTCTTTGTGGCTCAAGCTGCCGTACGGTCTGGGAACCTTGTAACTCGAAGTTCGCACGCTGACGGAACGGTCAGCGTGAAGCTACTCAGCACTCGGCGACGTGTAACGACTCTCCTACTCGTACGCCGTAGTTGCACAGCACCGAGCAAAGGAAGTACACAGCCCATGTGCCTTCCCAGACTTGACGAGCGCCTGTCCTTAGCCACCGCCTTCAAGTGCAAGTCTACATCTACACCAACGCTGCTATGATACCTGGAAGTCGACTGGCACTCCATGCTGCCAGAAGGCGCATGTTGCCTGCGCCTTGAGCTGCCCGCTTCCTTCCTGAAAACGGAGGCACCAAGAGGGATTCGGAAGAAATCCGGCTGGACGAAGACACTGATGTTCCAGCACTGCCCTCGGAAAGTCAGAGAGGGAAGTGCGACCACAGAAACTTCAGACCATCTGATTCTATCTTTCTTACACAAGGAGCCAGCAAAGATTGCAGCGCCGAAACGAGATGTGTTCGGTTCGCAGCAGGCGCTTCGAGTCACAAGGCAGGCCAACAAAGAAGTGAGAAAGTGCACGACACCTCTTCAGGCTCGCATCGGCGTCCTGCGGCTGCCTCAAATCAAGTTTTAACTCAGTCAAATCAGTTCTGGGTCAGACAAGGCGATTTAAGAAAGTTGTCAGGTCGCTCTTGAAACTACGGAACCTCTTCAGCTGGACCGGCCAGGGAGGTGCCTCGGTGCGAAAAGACGAACAAGTCGCGGAATCTCGCTTAGGCTAAACGGCTTCCAGAGGTCATGCCCAGTACTCGGTGGGCGAGCTGGAGAGCAAGATCTATGACAACGTGCATCACAACAGCAAGGCGGCAAAAGTGCAGATTTCCAGGCAGCTGCAGCATGCCGCAGTTCCGATGCTTCCAAGGGAGAGCTCTTGATGCCGCTGTCCATCTTGTCGCGGGACACGCCTTCACAGGCGCACAGCAAGGGGACAGAATGCTGGCTAGGAAGCCCCAGTACATGAGCGCTACACGTTGCATTCTCCATCAGTTTCTTGTCATAGCCCAACCAGAGGGAAGCGTAAGTACAACCATTTACCCTGGAGTGGTGTTACTAGTAGACGGGAGGCCTGGCCCCTGTGAAGTCGCCAAATCACGTGGTTCGCAACCCTCTGGCTGGTAGAAAGTCGTGACTGGCAGGCTGCCAGCCACAACATCTTGCTCTTCACGGACTGGAAGGCTTGGGATTGCAACTCTGCCGCTGGTCCTGGAAAGTGCCTTGAAAGTGATTGCTTGCAAGGCCCGGTTGGCTTCGCAGGCACAGCGCTGGAACTTGCAAAGGTGTCGCAGCCTTTCGTATAAGCACGGGCCGTCCGAAGGTTTGCCTCGTGGTTGTGCTCGTCTCTTGCATCATATCTCCCATCACCTTCATCTGGGGTGGCAGTTGGGCATGAGCCTCAGATCCACCGGTTGGAGTTCTTCGCAAGTGGCTGCACAGGGTGCGCAGCTCTTTTGAAGTCTCAGTCTTACTCTGATTCGACTTCGAAAGGCTGACCCGAAATGGGTGCCAGGAGGAAGGCTCGCAATGGAAGCTTGTGAATTCTTCTGAACAGGGCTAGACAAGTGGCATAAGGGTTGCGATGGAGGACGACGATTATTCTCGATTTGTTCTGCGACTTGGGCTACCTCGTCCACCTGGTCTTGGAACTGAAGATGTCTTTCATGTGCTCAACCCAGATGCTAATCTTCCGTACCCTTTGTGCCAAGTCCATTCCCGGTCCTGTCCAAAACCCGCGAATCCTGTCGATTGTCAGCTCCGTGGCCACTCTGCCAGAGGTGAAGCATTTGAAGCTGTCCATTGGATAGTGTGTGAAGTGTCAGAAAGCTCAGATCCCACAAGGCATCCATCCAGGAGGGTGGAAGTCGTGGACCCCTCCAAGATCTTGCAGTTCAGGCGCTTCAGCTGCGAGTGAATGGAGCATGACGTGGCTTTGCTCGTGTATCCTAACAGGCTCAAGAGCACCACTTACATAATGCGGGCTTTCAGTGCTGCGGCCTCTGCTGCAACAGCATGACAGCTGCTAACATCACAAACTGCTTCAACTCAGGCTACATGCTACTTTTGGATCATCGCCTTCAATGCTAGCTTGCTGCTCAACCTCACCAAGCTCGTCCGGATCTATCACTTTGTGCGGGCCTCACTGCAATGGTGACGGTTGGCCATGAAGCGGTTGCTACTTGTGTTTTTGCTTCCAGTGATGTCAGCAGGTGCGGCTCCCAGATCCACTTTGGCTTATTTGGGACAACGGTATCCTACGTGAGCTCAGGCAGGTAGTGCCCGGAAATTCCCACAAACACAAGTCTTCCATTCAAATTCAGGCCACTCCTGCTCCTTACCTGGTTAGCACATTGGGCCGGGACTCGAAGACGAAAACGAGCGTGTCATCGGACAAAGGCCTCAACAAACCAGCTTCCAGGTTGGTTGCCTTCTGGCGTGGGGCGGTGGATACCGTGAGGCGGACTGTGTTTCTGTTTCAAGAACTTGCTTGTGCTCATTTTTGGGGCCGTTGCATCTCGACAGGCGCTGTGGAATTCAGGTGCTCTTCGGCGACCGTGGGCGATCCGTCACTTGCACACCTCTTGAACTGCCAGGCGACGGCAGCGAGTTTGAGACCACCTTCAACGGAAGCGTTATTCCGGGCTGGTTCTCCTTGTACTTCATGGCTTTTGCTCGAGGCTCAGGCTGCTGCTCTTGCCACGTCTCATGACTGACAAAGCCACGCTCAAGATATTTATATCTAGACTAGATCTATATCTGTATCTATACATATATATATATATATTTATTTATTTATTTATTTGTTTATATTCATGTGTCGATTAGCTCACGCCCACCCCCCCCCCCTCCCCACCCATGCTCCAGCCGAACCTGCTTTTTGTAAGCAGTGGATCATGGGAGGTGGGCAGCCTCGGATGCGAAAGCATCGGCAGGGATCAAATTTCCCCAACATTCCTGAAGCCTGGAATGCGTAAACATCGGCAGGGATCCAATTTCCCCCAAATTCCCAAAATCTGAGCAAATATAGCCGCACTCCCCATATATGCCAGGATTTTCGGAATTTGGGGGAAAGTTGATCCCTGCCGAGGTTTTCGCATTTCAGGCTTCAGGAATTTTGGGTAAATTCGAGCCTGGCAGGACTTTAGCAACCTCGAATGCGAAAACATCGGCAGGGATCAAGCTTGCCCAAAATTCCTTGCCGCGCTCCCCGTAGATGTCAGGATTTCCGGAATTTTGGGGAAATTTGATCCTTGCCAGTGCCTTCTCATTTCAGGCTGCAGAAATTTTGCCAAAATTCGAGCCTGGCAACACTTGCGCAACCTCAGATGCGAAAACATCGGCAGGGATCAAAATCTCACTGAAATTCCTTGTCCCCGCATTCCTCATAGATGCCAGGATTTGATTGTTGTTGTGTTAGTGTTATCGTTATTATTATATTATTTGTTTTTCAGATTTCTATTTTTGATTATGATATTTTGCATTGGCATTATTGTTAGCATTGGTGGCAGTGTTGATGGTGGTGGAATACATGCTGTCCCCATTACCTGTTGTTCTTGTTGCAACTATAATTGCAGCAGCACTAGTAGCGGTATTATTGTTTAGTACTTGAGACTTGTTCTTATTGTATGGATGTGGCTGAGTTTTACAGCTAGTCGANNGATTCTGCATTAAAACAGTCCTTTCTAAATCTATAGTACCTCGCTTATAGATAAAGGAGCTCCCACATTGTGTACTTTCAAAATGACGTTGTTGTATTTTGGAGTATCAACTGAAACATCGGTACAAAGATCCACGACGGCAGAGTCGCAAGAAGAAGGTCATGCACATGTCCAGTTCTGTTTCCCAGGTTGAGGCCTTGTACATGCTGACGGGGGCCTTGGACAACCCGCTGGGCGATGGAGGGCACAGCCCTTAGATCAGTTTCATCGCCAAAGTGCCCACGGAAGGATGCCTTCCAGTAAATTTGCCATAGCTGAGTGTCAGATTCTGTCGATCTCTCTCATGAACATGGAAGGATTCGAGACAAGAACTTCGGATCTTTGCTCATGGTGGCTGCATCTGCCTGAGCAACGAAGTTCATGCAGAAGTGATGTCGGCATCCGCTCAGCCAAGAGGTCTTTGGGCCCGTTGGCTGCATCATTGTGGCCCACTTCATTGCAGCCGTCGTCCGAGAACAGGAGCTATAGACCCCAACTCCTGCAGAAACAGTAGAAGTCGTGCCGTGCTTTTGCAGACAGGGCTTGTGGGCGACCATTACCTGATGCCACATTCCTCTTCACAGGAACGGAAGTTCGCGCTGGATATCCGGCATGAAGAGAACCAGGCAAAGTGCTTTGCTTCACGAGTCTATCCTGCACTGCCGTCGCCTTCTCGACAACCGTTCACCTTTGTTGTCCGTTGTGTCGTGCAGCTCTACATGTTACCGGCTATCCCATCTATCCCCAAGGCCTGCTCTGAAAGCGTTCGCCTGAGAGCATCGTCGCATGTTGACATTGGTTTCTTTGTTGACCCTCTGTATCCGCGCACAGTCCAAGCACCGAAAGCCCTCGAACAAGTACTGCAACGCTTTGCAGCTAACCACAATCGTTCTTGGGCTCATGTCGGGACCAGGTTGCTGAAAACTTGGTTGTACTTAGGTCTGCTCAAACACTCGGGAAATGAGGGGCCGTTGCTAAAATTTGCCTTGCCGAACAGTTGCGGGTGGGAAGGCGCCTGTAGACATCCCACATCACGCTTGGTACAAGAAGCCTAGACGTTGTACCTGCTCGTCGCAGTCCTCTGCCAGGGGCCTTTGTCCTGTAACTTCAAAGCATCAATTCTGAAACCTGGGAGGTCGGGGTTAGACCCCTTCTAGATCGGGCCCTCTGAATTCACAGTTCTTCCAGGGATTAGCCTGCAGGCATTTGTGAAACGAGCCTTAGAGAACCTGAACGTTCCGACGGAGCTCCAGCGCCGGGTGTTCAGTCCGAGCCTCTGAGTGTCACAGCCGCTCACAGAGGAACGGCCGTGATTCGCCATTGCAAGGTCTTCACCACTTTCAGAAGATGAGTCATGACTACGAGGCGCAAACCTCTGTGCAACACTAGCTCATAAGATGTAGTTCTGCTGCGACGTCCTGTTGTTGGTGCACTGCCTTTTTTCGGTGCGTGCACGTAAAACGTAGCACCAGTTTCAGAAGATGAGTCATGACTACGAGGCGCAAACCTCTGTGCAACACTAGCTCATAAGATGTAGTTCTGCTGCGATGTGCTGTTGTTGGTGCACTGCCTTTATTCGTGCGTGCACGTAAAACGTAGCACCGGTTTCAGAAGATGAGTCATGACTACG